CGCGAAACCAATCGAGAATGGTCACTCGCATTGTGAGCAGTTGCAGGAAACGCAAGATATCACGGCTTCCGTTTTGAGCGGTCTTTCCGGGAAGGAAACTTGGGATCCCGGTGAAGAACAAAGGGAAAAGAGAAAAGAGATGAACCAGGAGTCCACCGAGATCAACGATAATAGTGAATGTCTAGTCTGGATTGTGTCCGCGGATGCAACGTGTGCTGATTTGTGTAATGACAATAAAATTGACAAAGGCGTGAATGTAGAAAATGAGTGTAACGTGAATGTAGTGGCGGATACGACGTCGGCCACAACGACGACGACGATGACGACGACGACGACGACGACGACGACGACGACGACGACGACGACGACGGCGTTATCGACGTGTCATGATGGTTTAGGAAAGAAAGTAAAAAAGGACGGCGATCCGTTCAGCGCCCAACTCGATCGAGTATTCGATCGTGAGGAAAGACGGGGTGAGCCTGTCACAAGGGAATCTCCGAGCCGGCAAAGTTCCTGGAGTAGTTACGACAGCGCAGTGGTTCTTGACAACAATTCGGTGCACAGCTCGTGGGCTACCTTGCCGTCGAGAAACAGTTCCTGGGGCTCTTATGACATGCGGCCGTCCGATCTGCTCGGATCCAGTGGTCTGTTTCCGTACGACAAAGAGGAAATCCCGTGGCATCCGGGAACGGTAAAACGCACTAAGCAGAAATTGGAGGAGAGTACGACCGCAGGCGAGGTGAAGCGCGTGTGCACGCAAAGCTCAACGACTGCGGACGACAAGAGTGATAGACTAACTACTGAAATAGATTCGGTTGCGGTCGAGACGTACAATCCGATGCTGTTGCATCACACACCATCACCGACACCGCGAAGAAGGGACTCGTCGCCCACTCAGGAACATAATCTTAAAGTAGAAACAAATAGAAACTCGCCGAGCCCGGTAGGTAGCATCGACATCTCCCTTACGTCCATGCGTCAGATTGGAAGACTATCTACAAGCGCTCCTGCGCCGTCCTCTCTGCCCTCCGAGTCCGATCTGCCTCTGTCTCTGAGATCCTGCAGATCAGAAAGCGAGACGTCCAGTCCGTGCGTCGTCAACACTACCCAGTGCCCTTCTGTAAAACACCACAAAATGGTTTTGGAAAACCTCTGCAACAAGTCCGTGTTTAGCAAGCGCTGTCTCTCCGTAGATGATTCGCCGGAAGCAGAGTGTCCACGTAGCACTTCTGGTATAGTTAAAAATCTGAAGAAAGAATTTGAGGCGAAGTCGACCAAGCTGGAGAGGAGTCCCGAGAATGCGTGCGAGGGCGAAAACGCGTCAGTGACTGCGCGACCCAAAAGGGACGTGAAAATTAGGAGTTTGCCCTCATCGCCAGTGATCCCGCACAACGAGTCCAAAATTCAATCGTCGTCCAGCGTTGGCGAAACCAAAGACAACAAGCATGGCAGGAAGAGCGAGACAACGCCGCCGTCGTCGCAAGATAATGTGGAAGATCTCTCCGTCAGAGTATTGGTGGGAAAATACGAGGTTGCCAGGCCAGAATCCAGGAAGAGCTCGGACGTCCAGTTGCGCGCGCACAAAGATAAGGATTGGGAAGCCATGGAGGTGCATCCGCCAGCGAAATCGAAGATTGCGCCCGAGTTCTCGAGAAGGTCAGCGCCGATCATGATCAACAATCACTCTACATCTCTGTTCAACGAGACGCCGGAAGCCCCCGGCAGGCCGCCGGCAGTACCTTCACCTAGCGTAGTCATGGCCAGTGTAGTGGCTAAAGCAGCTAGTAAAAAGCAGCAGCAACACGGCAGAACCCATCCTCTCGCTAGGTTACAGGTCAGGCCTAGGCACAGCAGTCCCGTTTACAACACCATGTAATACAGAGGCGACGCTCTTTTGTTTTTGCTCGCGGATTTTTAAGCGCAACACGAGCGCAGCGCATCTAATCCGGACGAGAGTACTCATGTGATCACGTGAGTACATTGCCGTGACGATGAAATCGTGTGATCTCTTTATGTTGGCAATGAAGATTGGGTTTTCGGAGCCAAGACGGTTGCGCCTGTTGTTCTAATAGTAGGTCTTTTTCGTTGTACTCTTTTCTTTGTCGTTATCGCTACAATATCTCGTACAAGCGTTGTCCTGTTCACCGAGAAAAATGATTTTGTCATTTCGATAATGTATCTTATTATTTATAAGACGATAATCTCGTACAAGTGTTCGGATTTTTTACTGCGAATTAACGACAGGCGCTTTATGTTCCTTCTCGTCAACGTGTATCTTGGCTTGATGTTAGTTCAATTATTTTAAGCTGGAAATGCAACAATCACGAGGCTGCGCGTCGAGAAGAGGGTCAACGTAAATTCAGGAAAGGATAATTGCGTCGTTATCCTACATCACTTCGTCGTAAGTTAGTGGACTCGGAATCAAACATGCGTTAAGTATGAAAAGTAATCGCGAGTATTGTGCGGGTGACTTAACGCGAAGGACGGCACGAAAGTTTTAGTTCGCAAGAAAAGAAGGATAAAAGAAAAGGAACCGAGTGCTCAGTCAGGCTGTGAATGTAAGGTCTGAGCCTCGGGTGCACGCTGACCTTTCTTCTGCTTCGCTTTCTTGATCTTTTCTTTGTTTTTTTTTTCGTCGAATACGACGTTATCGCGCGAGACGATAAATCTTCGATTTTCGAAGCGACTTTGTCGATTTTGTCGTAACGGGAAAAGTTATTATATGACAAGACCTCGAGATAATGTAATATTAAGCCACACTATTAGTAATTTATAGATGAATAATGTGATGTAGAGTGATGTACAGTATGCGAGAACACGATGTAGCGAAGTGTGTCTTCTGTTGAGCGACTGTTTTCGGAAGCATGAGTGCGTACGGAAGGGGGTACCGAAATTCACGAGCTTCTAATCGTTTCCGAAACCCCGAAAGTGATTTCTCCTGATCTTCTGCGTCAACGGCCATATTTTACATGAGCGTGAGAGTTAATACAAAATTAGTTAGTTGAAGGTAATAATGTCGTAACAAGTGGATTAGATTTTTCTTAAATCGTAAGATAATAATTTAGTATTGTACGTATATTGTCTCTTATTGAGGAATGTGTAATAGGCAATTTCAATTTTAATGAATTAGATCTTGTTAGATATCGTTGAGCTTGAGACTTGCTGCCTCACGTTTAGGATACATGGATTACATCTCTGCTATTTGTATACAGAAGAGCCTCTTAGGCTGAAACAATCGTTATTCTCGCGAATGTAGGTACCTCTCTTACTCATTAATTGTTATTAACTTGCTCTTTGTACTCCTACTACTATAGATTGTCTTTATCTCGATTAATTCAAATCGGTTGATCGTGTAACGCTTTTCAACGGCTGACGATGCAGCGATAATAGTGCATCAGGAACTCCCGCTATTGACTCCTGTGAATCGAGAAGATATGATGAAATAGCGGGGATGGATATGTTGATCCTCATGGGTGCATGCGCGTATTGTACTTCTTCATCGATCGACCCTGGAGCACATTGTATCTAATTGTAAGTGTCAATATTTTTTTAAATACATATCATCGACTCATCGTTAATTTTATAAGTCACGCGCGTTCTCACCGCGTCGCGGGATTTAGTTAGACAAAAAACGAAGGAAACCCGATTTATCGCGCAAATTAATGACCAATTTTATACTCTGATGTACTCTGACGAATGCGACCGCTGCTAAGAGGCGCTTCGCGAGCGCGTCGCGATTATCGTGTATAAATATATTTTATTACAAACACATTTCTCAACCAAATTAGGCTCGTTGATCGTTTAGATTGTAGATGCGGGCGAAAAATGTCCTGGAACATAATAGTATCCCGAATAGTCTGTTGGATCGCACCTAGAGATTAAATATTACCTACTTATATAGTTAAGTACAATCAGATGCGATTTAGGAGGAGGAGGATCTGTTTTTTTTCTCTGCGATATCTCGCAGCCGGAGGTGACTCGTCCCCTCTTTTTAAGTGCGAGTGTTGCGAGAAGCGTAGTTTCAAAGTCTCGAATGTTGCCCAGCGTAGTCGACGAGTTTGGAGTATATTTGAATGCACAAGATATCTAATGATTCTCTTATGGAATCCAATGTGGGTCGGATATCCGATCACGTTAATCGCCGCAAAAGTATTACGAAACAGGACGTGTCGTCTACGGCGCGAGTACCGAGGAAAGAAAGAGGAAAAAAAAACGCGATGCGTTTTCTGCTCTCTCACCGTGTTTGTGCGCGAGCAATCTTTTTTTCTACACCGTGTCGCTTGTCAACCGATGGATTTGCTCGTGTCAAGTAAGTTTGTATTGTCACAAATCGATGTGCTCAGTTTTAGTAATTGTCCCCTGATCCTTCATACCCTGTTCCTTTGACCGCTCCAATCCACCCCTCGTCTCTTAAGTCTTGCTTAAGTGTGTGCGTTCGCTCGATACGAGAACTTGCTGTCATATGAGAAATGATGATAAAACCGTACGTTGTTCTGTATAAATTTTGTACTATAGTTTGTATTAAATAAAATACATTGTTTATTGCTTGAGTACACGTGTTATTCCTTATGGGGAAAATTTTTACAAAAAACAAAGAAAATAATCGTTTTATTTATTATCATCTTTCTCTCTCTTGTTATTTTATTTCATTTTTAATAGTATTATGTACATCACTACGATATCATATTTTAATTTAATTTGTTATAAAAAGAGAAAAATTAAATCATGTCAAACTAAAATGATTATTATACAAAATGTGAAATATCATTTTATTATGCTTTTTTAAAAACACCTTTTTACTATAATCACAGACATCAAAAGAATTATCTTATCAAAATCTTACACAGACTAAATATTTACAAAACGTCATATTTTAACATTACATACGTCATATTTTAACAAATGTAAATCAGCTATATTTTGGAAATCATATTTGTAAAATAAATAATATATTTTTTCAAGCTTTAAACCATGAAGTAATTGCATAAAAAATACATATATTTACATATCAAAGATAAATATCATAAATCGATTAATCAGGCTGGGCATCTACTTCGAAAATCGTTGTTCCGGAGCAAAAAGCGAATTTCGGAAGAATCCGTTTACTGTACTTCGATTCTAACGGACCGACATCCAAACTATACGCACCGCTCTTTAAATTTCTGATCATAGCTATAGTCTGCAGAAACAAAGAGCATATACTGTTAAATTATTCTGAAGTAAGAACAAAAACGGTTATTTTATAGAGCAAGTAGGTATACACAAATATTCTGCATTTAAATCAGATAGAATTTTCACAATTGTATTGATAAATTTTCTTATTTTTCTTTAATTATATCAAAATGTCTAATTCAAATATCAGTAGTCTTTGAATCATAAATAATTATATGTACAATATGTATAATTATAATCAAAAAGCTTATACATATGTACAATATATATAATTATAATCAAGAAGCTCATACATATAATGAAGAATTTTTGTGAATTAAGTTCCTAATAAGATCTAACATAACATTATTTTCCCGAAATGTTAATATATCTGCTATTATTATTTGCTCGTATTACTCGAGAATAATATTCGCCAATTATTATGATCGCAATAAATTTTATAAATAGTAATGATAGTACGTTGTAGAATCGAATACATTAATGATGACACTTAACGATCAATAATCAACATTCACATATTTAGAACGTGCAATACGATTCTTTTCGTTTTATGCATTAAAATGTCATAAAATTTCATCGGACTTACAGAATGAGATCGTAGATCAACAATTCTAAAGAGATTCACATCGCAACCACCGCACGCAATATACATATTTGTTACGTATTTTCCAGCGTATAATAAAGAGGAATAACTGTCTGGTTCTACAGTGGTGATCAATTTGCCGCTACCGTAATCCCACAATTGTAAAGGATTATTCCTCTGCCAGGCACAAGTAAGGATCTGTTATTCGTGAAAATCTGTAGTTAAAGACCATAGATAATTTACCATCACTGTTTTTGATGGACTACGAATCTTGCAAAGACATTGATGGTAAATTATCTACGGCATTGCTGACGATGGTTTGAAGGAAACCAAAACGTTCAATAAGTTTGTATCGATACTTAATGTAAAATTATTGATAATATATTATACGAATTGTGCTCCAATTATCGCGCTGAATTGATGCCCATATACATTAATATTTTATTTTTATATAAAAATTAGTATATACGTTCCTCTACCAAATGTCATGTTACAAAATTATAAAACTATCGCAGTTAAAGTTACAAAGCTATCGCAGTTATAAATGTGTAATTGCTATAACTCTTAAATTTATTAACATACAATATTTGACATAGCAAATTCGATTGGACGCATTCAGTCCATATTAAAATGGTGCATATTAAAATCATCGTATACAAATTGATGTAAAAATTTTGTTTAACACAAATATAAAAACAGGTTAAACCGTGAAATCTTCAATACATTTTATTGTGTTGTTAAATAAAATATATATTTTATAATTCGAAATATTGTATTTCACTTTTACACTCAGATTAAATCAGTGTATAACGGCTTTAATATGCACTAGGGTGTTCAACTGAATTAGCTAATGGATTTATTGATTCTTCACTATAGGCGTAAGTTCGAAAGTACCTCTTTTCCATTTCTACTGATGTCTAAGCTGTCCCCACATATATGTACACCTGATATAAACCGAAAGGAATGAGCTTGTCTGGTATCCCAGAAGTGGATGGTGTCGTCCCAGCCACCACTTATCAGCTCGTATGCAGATTTCGGGTTGAAGCAAGCGGCAAAGACTCTGGATTTATGACCGTCCATGACATCCGGCGTGTCACTGTATTCGAAAATCACGAGATGTTTTGATAAAAATCTCAATTTTTATTATAATAATATCTCAGTAATAATAAAAAGAACGGCCAAAGATGAGCAAACATAGATAGAATAATTAAATAACATTTACTGCCTAATATAACATACGTTTCGATTGATACAATGTCTTTTTCAGTTTAGGAAACATACACGAAAACATACACGTAAATTAGCGCAACATTATTTCCTCTTAATTATTTTTCTTATTAATGTGTTTTTTGAACTGAAGAAGACTCTGTGTTAGTCGGAACCTATGTTATATTTTCTTAACATTTGTTTTTGCTCGTTTTTAACCATTTCTTTTTTATTATTGTATGGCAATATCTCCTTTTATAGAGATGGAGAAACTTCCACTAGTATCTATACTCTTCTTGGAATGATTACCTTCCGCGAAACAATCGCGCGTCTTAGTTTCTTCATCATACAAGTATAAAATCGTATCGTCCCCAACAGTAACGAACTTCGGTAATTGAGGATGGTAAGCCAGACCAAGTGTTTGCCGTCTTTCTCGTATCGTATAAAGGCATTGTGCGGTTGGGTAATGCCAGCATTTAACGCAGCCGTTGGCATCTATCAACGTAAAACTTTATCCTTTTAACGAATGTAAAACTTTCAATTATAATTTTAATCTTTGAATTAAATTTTTCGACGTTATATATTATAACTTACTGTGCTACATTCAATATTAATTTTTAGATTAACACTTATTTTACGTATTTTATGAGGCTTATATAAACGTCATCGTTAAAGGTAAGAAAAAAATAATTTAAGATGTGTTAATATATTTTTTAATTCATTTAAAGTTAGATTAATATTTTTAAGGTAAATTAATATTTTTTAAATTCGCCTTTAATAATGAATAAGTAATGCGGAAATCTCTCTTTATTATTTTGCTTTGCAAATTTATTCTTTTGAACGGTATTATTCTACTTTTAAAAAGTAAAATAAAAAAAATTGCATTTTATATTATATTATGTAACATATCATTAATATTAGATTAATATTCATATTAAATTATTTAAAAAATCTTAATTATTTCTAAATATACAATAAATACAAAATATATAAATTAACAATATTTGTTGATTTCAACAAAATCTTTTCGAAAGTGAGCTTAAATAATTTCCATATTATATAAAGAATTTGTTAGATAATAATTAAATTTATTACATAATAATTAAAATAAGAAGTGAAAGATCTGTGCGATACTAACAAGTCGCTATCACAGTATGAGTGATCGGATGTGTTCTGCGCACTGGTCGATGCTTTACAGCAGTCACTGGAGCCGGATTCTGCATCATCTCCGCATCGCACAGGATCAACGTATTCTCACCCGATTTAACTTTGTAGAACTTTACATTCCCGTCCAACAGTCCTGCCGCCAAAAAGTCGTAAGTTTCCGTATAGCAGATGCAAAGCACGTCTTGATTAACTTCCCTGCAAACTATTCACTTTGCAATTTATTTCAAATGAATATAGCTGTTTAACATAAACCTGTTCAAAATTAGATAAAGGATAAAATTTTATTACATATTCAGTTACGTCTCTAAGGAACTTAAATTATGAAAGATTGTTCCTAATTTAAGAATTATTAGCTATGAGCCATTATTTACATATTTGGCATTTTTAATTTTTTCGACATTTTTTTCACAAAAAAATTGAATTTATCAAACAATTCATATGTACAATAAGAAACACAAAATAGGCCACAAATTGATTCAATTAGTTTTGACTTTATAAATAAATAAAGATTCTTTGTAAAAAAATCATCAATTAAAGATGTCATTTCTTAATTAATATATCTAAAAAAATGACTTTACATTCATACTTAAATTAAAATATTCATATTTAAAATGAAATTGTAAATGATTTTCTTTTATTTAGGAAAATTTAGTCATTTTTAAGCTACGATATATAAAAATAATAATTATAAATAAATACTGCTTACATTTGATTGATAATATTGACATTGCCAACTAATTGATAACGATGCTCGATGTCGGAGATGGTTTGCATTGACACTGATGAGGGAGTGTATCCCTCAGTGGTGACAATTGATGTTATTGAAGGTGTAGGTGTCTCATCGAAATCGATCTCGCTGGCATTATTTTGAACGGTTGAATCGATGGTAATTCGGGAGAACTGTTTACTATTTTTATCTTCCATCTAGTGTAGCAGAGAATCAATTATTATTTAAATCAAAAAGCTATACTTTTTAAAATATTACAAAGTTATAATATGACTAAAATGGAAATAAAAAATCAAAAATTCCTAAAGCTCAAAAACGTCATGAAAAGTAAACATTTTCAAAACGTTGAGAATATTCAGAGAAATATGACGAGTGCTTCGAACAGCATTTCAACTATGAACTTTAACAAAAGTTTTGAAGCTTTACATTAAAGATGTGCGAAGTGTATTAATGTCATAGGAGGTTACTTCGAAAGATAAAATACAATTATTTATTGTTATATTTTATGAGATGTCTGTTTCGTTATTGCTGCAGTCCAGAAACTTTATTGTCAAACCGTGTATATTTATTTATTAATATTTTATTTATTAATATTTCTTATTTAGTTATTTTAGAATAAATTTAAAAAAAATTATGCAAGAAGCATTGCTTTTATAAGAATCAAAGATTCTTGTCCTCTCTCATCTATCAACATCAACAATAGAGAATTAAGATTGTTAATTAAATTTCAAAGTTACAGGGTGCGTTCGGAGAGACGCTATTAACGCTTTTTGTGCCATTTTATCCTTGTTTTATGTCTAATGAATTATAAAAGTAGAATAATACCAATAGCTCTAACAGCATCTTTCCAAACGTTGTGATAATATGACGTCTTTAACGTCAAAATAACATCAAAATAATGACAAATAACATCAGCTTGTGTGTTAAGACATCTACAGTGCATATTGAAAGTTATATTGTGTGAACTGAAATAAAAATGAAGAAATAAAGAACAAAAGCTATTTTTAAAACTAATTTTATTTACTATTTTACAATGTTATACAAATTTAAAAAAAAAACTACATTGTTTTTAAAAAATAAATCAGAAATACATAATAGAATGTAAACATATATAAGCAAAATATTATTATTAATATTGCAACATATTAACCTTATTGAATATTAAAATAGGGTTTTCACTTGATATTAATGCAGAATCCAGTAAATAATACAAGCTATACGGGTATGTTGCTTATATCAGTAGAATTTTATAAAGCGTAATATCCTAATTTAAAAAATTTGTGGATCATTCAGACCAAAAAATTACAGTGGCTTATTATCAGAAAATTGAAATTTGAAACTTGAAATTTGAAATTATAATTTTTGACATGTCAAAAATTTTAAATGACGATCGCAGTATGTACGTATATTACCTGTTTATATTTTTATTCTATTTATCGCAGTTGCATTGGCAAAAATATAATAAATAATGAAATACAATACACTAATTTCACAATTTTTATGTTATGAATGTTATGATAAAGCAATAGCTGTTCAATAGAGAAAACTGATCAATGAGCGGTCAGTGATTCTTTACTATGATTGGTTCCTATATTTAGATCGGAAAGATTCTATATTTAGATAGGAAAGAATAACTAAAGGCAAGAACGAATCATATTAAACAATCACTGAGCGCTCACTGATCAATTTTTTCTGCTGGACGCAGTTGTTGCTTTATCATCACATTCATAACATAAAAGATGTATTTGTAAAATTAGTGCATTATATTTTATTATTTATTATATTTTTATTGCTGTGTTATTGAAAAATATATGATTGTTCAAAGATTTTGAAAAAAACTACCAAACTTGGAGCAATAATGTCTGCACCATTTGTAAGCCAGTCACTTTGACATTTAAAAAGGAAATAATTGGCAACAGGCTGTTTATTGTTTTAAATGCTTTATTTAGGTATAAATATTATAAGTTTCATTTTGCGTCCACGATTTCAGAGCGGAAAATAGTAATATAAGCTAAAAATGGTATTTTTCACTTTTTAAGCTATATCTACGAAACTGTGTAGAAATTAGTAAAAGTCGTTCAATACTTTTTTTTCTCTATTTTTGTACGAATGATTTGAAACCAAGCGAAGCTCTGTGTGACAGATAGTTTCGGAGATACAGTGGTCCAAAGTTTCAGTAAAAAGGTGAAAAATCCGCATTGTTTTTCGTGGTGCAACTTAAAGCACATTTCTGATGAGTCGCATACAGATGCAGCCGAGAAAACCAATGTAACAGTAGCCGAATTAATCCGATGGACAATATATACGACACATATGTCAGAATAAATTATTAAAAATTTTGCGTTGTGTGGTGCAATTCTAGTAATTTACTAAAATGCAAGCAATCCAGCAGGAAAACAAACCTCACGTGCCTTATGCTTTAATAGATTCAAATTAAGTGGCGGAGCCATATTGATTTTTAGTTCGATGCTTCATAGACTCTTTGTAGAGGCACTGAAAACACTGGTAAAGTAGAGACACTATAATAAGAGACTAACATAGATGGGCTAATTTTTGATTGGCTGGATATGGAATGGCAGAAGCCAATCAAAAGTCGTGCTGGTAACCTCGGATCTTAGAACAATAGAGTTTTAAGCCTTATGCGGGGTCTACAATAGAAGTCGTAGCGATCGTAAGTCGTAGAAAATTGACCAATCACAGTTGATTATTCTTCTCATATTCGACTGTGATTGGTCAATTTTCTACGACTTAAGAGACCCTACGACTGCTACGACTTCTATTGTAGACCCCGCATTATGTCAGTCTCTAAAGCTGGTTCTACATTAGTCGCATCGCAGTGTCGCAAGAGTGTCGCAAGCGTTGTAGTCCAATCAGAGTTGAGCTAGCTTGACGTTGATTGGACCGC